TCTCACCTTTGCTCTTCTCCTCTCCTCACCTCCTCTTCTCTCACCTGCACTCCTCTCTTCTCCCTTCCTCATCTCATCTCCCCTTTACCCTTCCTCCATATATTGACTCCCCTTTTCCCTGTTCCAATACTTCCTCTCCCCTTTCCCTTCATTCAAATGTGTTTCTCATCTCTCCTCTCCTCTCACCACCATTACTCACCTTCCTTCTTTCCTCCCTTGCCTCCACCACCCTTCACCTTCTGTCTCCTACTCCATCTTCCTTCCTCCCTCACCCACCCCTCTTACTCACTTATCTCCCCCTCCCCCCTCATCCCCTCTCCCCTCATCTCCTCTCCCCTCATTGTGCCCCCTTCGGCTCAATGGAAGCAGCTCTTTGGAGTGGCAACGGGAAAGGAGATGCTGGATCTGTGATACCTTGCTTCAATCGCTCATATCTCTGACGTCTGTTTTCTGAGAACGATAAAACATTATCATCATCCCTATTATTAATATTACTGTAAACATCTATGTTGTCTTTATCATCTTGATATTAGTAATGACGAGAGCGATTTTTTTCTTAATATCGGTTGTCTAGATTAAGAAGATCGTGAACTAGGAGAATGAGAATAATTGTGCTATTGTAGAAAATGTATGAATGAGATCTGACGAAGATATTCATTCTCATTCATACCTTTTCTACACTTGTCAACATGAGTACGGTTCACCCTATTGTATTATTACCACGATTGCTCAGACTGAAATTAACATTACCATTGTGATTAATATCATTATTTTTTCACCATACCATCTAACTGTTTATGCTATAACTATCATTTTTCGATTTCTTATTGTTGTTATCATAAGCATTATTGCTATTATCATTATTCCTATCATTATACTAATATCATTTTTTCATTTCTATTATTACTATTATTATCATTATCATTATCATTCCCATTATGATGATGATAATGATTATCATCCTTGTTATTATCATTACCATATATATGATTATCATTATTATTTTCATTATCATTACTATCCTCATTTGTATCATCGTTATTATTATGATTTTTATTATCATTATTATTATTGTTATTATTATTACTGTTATTATCATTATTATCATCATCATTATAACTATTATTATCATCATTATTGTTGTTATTCTTATCATTATTATTATTATTATTATCATTATCATTATTAATATTATTATTACTATTATCACCATTGTCTTTATCACTACTATCATCATGTGTGTGTGATTATATGCATATATGTATATATATATATATATATATATAATATATATATATATATATATATAATATATATATATATATATATATATATATATAATACATACGAATATATATATATATATATATATATATATATATATATATATATATATATATATATATATATATACATATAGATAGATAGATATATTATATATATACATACATATATATATATATATATATATATATATATATATATATATATATATATATAATAATAGTGTGTGTGTGTGTGTGTGTGTGGTGTGTGTGTGTGTGTGTACATATATAGACACTTCCTGGGTCTCCTTCTCGGGCTCTAGGGTGACTTCCTGGGTCTCCTCGGAGCCGAGCCCGAGAAGGAGACCCAGGAAGTCACCCTAGAGCCCGAGGAGACCTAGGAAGTCACCCTAGAGCCCGAGAAGGAGACCAGGAAGTCACCCTAGAGCCCGAGAAGGAGACCCAGGAAGTCACCCTAGAGCCGAGAAGGAGACCCAGGAAGTCACCCTAGAGCCCGAGAAGGAGACCCAGGAAGTCACCCTAGAGCCGAGAAGGAGACCTCACCCTAGAGCCCGAGAAGGAGACCCAGGAAGTCACCCTAGAGCCCGAGAAGGAGACCAAGTCACCCTAGAGCCCGAGAAGGAGACCAGGAAGTCACCCTAGAGCCGAGAAGGAGACCCAGGAAGTCACCTAGAGCCCGAGAAGGAGACCCAGGAAGTCACCCTAGAGCCCGAGAAGGAGACCCAGGAAGTCACCCTAGAGCCCGAGAAGGAGACCCAGGAAGTCAAGTCCCAGGAGTCCCTAGAGCCCGAGAAGGAGACCCAGGAAGTCACCCTAGAGCCCGAGAAGAGACCCGGGAAGTCACCCTAGAGCCGAGAAGGAGACCAAGGAAGTCGCCCCAGCCTAGAGAGAAGGACAGGAAGAGAGCCGAGAAGGAGACCCAGGAAGTCGAGAAGGAGACCCAGAAGTCACCCTAGAGCCGAGAAGGAGACCCAGGAAAGTCACCTAGAGCCCGAGAAGGACCAGGAAGTCACCTAGAGCCGAGAAGGAGACCCAGGAAGTCACCCTAGAGCCCGAGAAGAGACCCAGGAAGAGAGCCGAGAAGGAGACCCAGGAAGTCACCCAGAGCCCGAGAAGGAGACCCAGGAAGTCACCGAGCCCGAGAAGGAGACCAGGAAGTCACCCTAGAGCCCGAGAAGGAGACCCAGGAACCCTAGAGGAGAAGTCCCCTAGAGCCCGAGAAGGAGACCCAGGAAGTCACCCTAGAGCCGAGAAGGAGACCCAGGAAGTCACCCTAGAGCCCGAGAAGGAGACCCAGGAAGTCCCGAAGAGCCCGAGAAGGAGACCCAGGAAGTCACCCTAGAGCCCGAGAAGGAGACCCGGGAAGTCACCCTAGAGCCCGAGAAGGAGACCCAGGAGTCACCCTAGAGCCCAGAAGTCACCCTAGAGCCCGAGAAGGAGACCCAAAGTCACCCTAGAGCCCTAGAAGGAACCCAGGAAGTCACCGCCCGAGAAGGAGACCCAGGAGTCACCCTAGAGCCCGAAAGGACCCAGGAAGTCACTCTAGAGCCCGAGAAAGAGACCCAGGAAGTCACCCTAGAGCCCGAGAAGGAGACCCAAGAAGTCACCCTAGAGCCCGAGAAGGAGACCCAGGAAGTCACCCTAGAGCCCGAGAAGGAGACCCAGGAAGTCACCCTAGAGCCCGAGAAGGAGACCAGGAGTCGCCCAGATCCCGAGAAGGAGACCCAGGAAGTCACCCTAGAGCCCGAGGAGACCCAGGAAGTCGCCCAAGAGGCCGAGAAGGAGACCCAGGAAGTCGCCCAAGAGCCCGAGAAGGAGACCCAGGAAGTCGCCCGAGAGCCCGAGAAGGAGACCCATAGAGTCGCCCTAGAGCCCGAGAAGGAGACCCAGGAAGTCGCCCAAGAGCCCGAGAAGGAGACCCAGGAAGTCGCCTAGAGCCCGAGAAAGAGACCCAGGAAGTCGCCCAAGAGCCCGAGAAGGAGACCCAGGAAGTAACCCTAGAGCCCGAGATGGAGACCCAGGAAGTCGCCCAAGAGGTCATACATACCGTTCCTGTTATATATTAACATACACTAAATGATATATGCTATTAACACTATAAGTTCCTATGTATAAATTGACTAACAATTATTATGTTTGTGATACCCGTGCAACGATGTGCAATCCGTTTTCTATGACCGGTCAAATGTATACCCTATCGGTGATATATGTAACCCCTCAAGGCTTAGCAACAATAAAGAGTAGACATAGAAGAGACTCTTTCTACAAACCCTAAAATAAACGGGTTTATCCAAGACTACGTGATCCATACTTTGGCGAACGAGGATGGGAGATAACGAAGCGCATATCTTATGATTTCAGGTGAGATATGGACTGATGTTATACTGTTTGGGAGATAGATGAGAACATCCCCAACAGTTCCTACCGGGACGATATGGATGGTCTTCTCGGCCGACTTCAGGGTCGTCCAAGAGCCCGAGAAGGAGACCCAGGAAGTCGCCCTAGAGACCGAGAAGGAGACCCAGGAAAGTCGCCAAGAGCCAAGAAGGAGACCCAGGAAGTCCGAGCCCGGAAGGAGACCAGGAAGTCACCCTAGAGCCCGAGAAGGAGACCCAGGAAGTCACCCTAGAGCCCGAGAAGGAGACCCAGGAAGTCACCCTAGAGCCCGAGAAGGAGACAAGTCACCCTAGAGCCGAGAAGGAGACCCAGGAAGTCACCCTAGAGCCCGAGAAGGAGACCAGGAAGTCACCCTAGAGCCCGAGAAGGAGACCGGGAAGTCAAGAGCCGAGAAGGAGACAAGTCCCTAGAGCCCGAGAAGGAGACCCAGGAAGTCACCCTAGAGCCCGAGAAGGAGCCCAGGAAGTCACCCCTAGAGCCCGAGAGGAGACCCGGAAGTCAGAGAGCCCGAGAAGGAGACCCAAGTCGCCCTAGAGCCGAGAAGGAGACCCAGGAAGTCACCCTCCCGAGAAGGAGACCAGGAAGTCACCCTAGAGCCCGAGAAGGAGACCCAAAGTCACCTAGAGCCCGAGAAGGAGACCAGGAAGTCACCCTAGAGCCCGAAGGAGACCCAGGAAGTCACCTAAGAGCCCGAGAAGGAGAGAGAGAGAGCCCGAGAAGGAGACCCAGGAAGTCAGAGCCCTAGGAGACCCAGGAAGTACAGAGCCCCCAGGAAGTCGCCCAAGAGGTCCGTTCCTGTTATATATTAACATACACTAAATGATATATGCTATTAACACTATAAGTTCCTATGTATAAATTGACTAACAATTATTATGTTTGTGATACCCGTGCAACGATGTGCAATCCGTTTTCTATGACCGGTCAAATGTATGCCCTAGCGGCGATGTATGTAACCCCTCAAGGCTTAGCAACAATAAAGAGTAGACATAGAAGAGACTCTTTCTACAAACCCTACATTAAACGGGTTTATCCAAGACTTCGTGATCCCTACTTTGGCGAACGAGGATGGGAGATAACGAAGCGCATATCTTATGATTTCAGGTGAGATATGAACTGATGTTATACTGTTTGGGAGATAGATGAGAACATCCCCAACATTGGCGACGAGAGCGAAACAATCCACGCAGCGGCGATTTCAAGACCGCAGATCTATCGGCGATCGTGGTGGCCTAGATACCCCAAGCAGCCGAGCGCGGACTCCCCCGCCACGGATCAAGTGGACTCGCCCAACCGAACGTGCCCTAGTTTGACAAAATGGCCTCTGGAACACCGATGTATGCCACAGTGGAGATTTTTTCTCCCGAAGGTGAACCACATCAGGTCGGTGTCAGGTGGAAGCAATGGTTAGAAGCTTTTGAGGATTATTTAGCAGTGTTACAAGTAAACGATTCTGATAGGAAATTACAGTATCTTAGACATCACATGGGTATTCAAACTAAAGAGATATGTAAACTATTTCCTAATTATAGTAGTTTAAACACATATGAGGCGATGGTCAGTGCACTGAACCAGCATTTTTCGCCCAAGGTAAATAAGTATTATGAGAGATTTAAATTTGGAAGTTGTAGCCAAGGCATGATGAGAAGATAGACTCTTGGGTGACAAGGTTAAAGCAAGCAGCTACTTGTGTGAATTTTCTGATTCTGTATTAGAGGAAAGAATCATAGAGACCATTTTACTTCTCACGCCAGACCGCAAATTTAGAGAAAGAATATTAGAAGCAGGTCCCTTAACTCTAAATAAACTGATGGAATTTGCTAGGATGAGAGAAGACTCAAAGTCACAGGCTGATTCCTATGAAACTAAAGAGTTTGTGAGTAAGGTACAGGAACATAAGGGTAGAAGGCTACCAGTTTCTGTACAGAGGAACAGACCAGGTGAGTTACCTCCAAGAAATAAGCCAAGGACATCAGATCAGAGATATCCTAGTGCACAGGGCTGCCGTAGGTGCGGTAGGGAAAACCATAGAGCTAAGGATACTGATAAATGTCCAGCTATGGGTAAGCAGTGCAATAACTGTAAAAAATGGAACCATTTTGCTCAAGTTTGTACAAATAAGAGAAATCAGAGGTCAAGGAATGTAGTATATAAGACTGGGGACACACAAGAGTCTGACTTTGATTCAGACAAAGATTGGGTATTTTCCATTAAGTATATTGAGGGTAGAAAGAAAAGAATATATATAGATGTTCAATTAAATGGCAAACCAGTAGTAATGCAGCTAGATACAGGGGCAGATGTTACTATCTTGCCGGAGTATATAGCTAAGACAATTCCTGGTATTAAGATGCAGCCAGCAGATAAAGGACTGCAGACATATGGGTCACATGGGTTGACCGTAAAGGGTATGGCTAAAGTAATGGTAAAGTATGAAGATCAGGTGCATGAAGATTTACCTTTATATGTTGTGAAAGAGAGAGACGAATGTCTTTTAGGATTGCAATGGTTATCCCAAATTAACTTTAATTGGCCAAAGGTGTTTGAGAAAGTATCCAAGGTAAACATAAGAAAATTATCATCCATAAATGAGATCATACCACTATACCCTGAAGTTTTCTCTGAGGGTATAGGTACAGTAGCAAATAGCCAAGCCTCATTAGCACTGCAACCAGAGGCAGCTCCGAAGTTCATGTCTCCCAGGAAAATTCCGTTTGCATTGAAGCCTGCTGTAGAACAAGAGATTCGCAGATTGGAGGCTGAAGGAACCTGGGAGAAGGTTAATTATTCAAATTGGGGTACACCTTTAGTACCAATAGCAAAAAGAGATGGCAGTGTAAGACTCTGTGGAGATTATAAAGTAACTGTAAATCCACAACTGCAGGTTGCACAAAATCTGCAGAGGGCTTTCTCACAAGAGACACACCCTTGGGAAACACCTAGTACTCCATGGCAGAGAGTACACATTGATTTGCAGGTCCTTTTCGAGGTCACACTTTCTTGATTGTAGTTGACTCATTCAGTAAGTGGCCTGAAGTTATACCAATGACCTCTACAACTGCATATAGCACCGTGAGAGTGCTCATGTCCCTATTCGCAACACATGGTATTCCTGAGCAAATTGTGTCGGATAACGGACCTCAGTTTGTTTCAAGTGAGTTTGATAGTTTTTGTAGGGGGAACAACATCAAACACATTCGTAGTGCTCCATATCATCCCGCAACGAATGGTGAGGCAGAAAGATTTGTACAGACGTTCAAGTCTAACATGAAATGTAGAGGCAGTAGCAGATCTGGTCTCACCGCTAACATAAACAGGTTCCTATTATCATATAGAACCACTCCTCATGCAACCACAGGTTGTTCACCTTCGTTTCTGTTGATGGGGAGGAGGGTGAGATGTAGGTTAGATGCAATGACACCAAAATTAGCTGTAGAACAAAAGAGTAAAACCGAGACTGTGAAGGACTATAGAGAATTTAACATTGGAGATAAAGTATTGATAAGATCATATACTTCTTCAGAAGAAAAATGGTTTGAAGGACAAGTTGTACAAAAGCTAGGTAATTGCATTACATAGTAAAAGATGAGGATGGTCGAGAGATGAAAGGCACATTGATCAATTGAAGTTATCACATCTAAAGAAGGGTGTAATCATAATTCCTTCTGTGCAGCAAGATCAATCAATACAGCAGGAAAAGAAGGAAGTAAAGTAGATCAGGAGAATATGCCTCTGATATACCTAAAAAGAGAGAGTTACCACAAAGGTCTACCAGAAATAAACTTCCGGCTAGGTATGCTGACAATTATATCCTTAC